GCTGCAGCTGTGGTGAGAGCGGAGCGACGTTGTTTAGTTTACGTGGCGGCAGCTCTGGCGGTGCATTCTGATTCATAAAATTGGTCAGGTGCGTCTTGCGTGGACTGCAGCGGCCCGGCTTGGGGCTATTTGGGGGCGATGCTGCCGCAGTCTCAAACTTGAGCATCTCGATTCGCTTGTTGATCGCAGCCGCCAGCTCGTGCTCCAGCGGTGGTGCAGGTGGTGCCTGCTTCTTGGCCTCCACCTCGCTGTGCTTGAGCATCTCCACGCGCTTATTGGCCAGCGGATTGAGTCGTCGGGGACTGGCAACGGGCGTGTCTCTCGGTATGCTGCAAGAGAGTTTGGGATTAAATGAATGACGAGAGTTTGTGTCGTGGAAACGAACCTTTGCAAGCTGTTCTTCATGGACTCCAGCAGCGATTCGGCCTCCATGATGAGCTGCTTGTACTTCATGTCCGCCTCCAGATCGGCCTTGAGCAGCGCCTTCTCGCTCTCCGCTATGGTCATGAAGTGAGGCTCATTGGCGCTGCCAAAGATTAGCGAATTGGAGCGATTCGACAGTGGTGAAGTCTTGTAGATGCTGTAAATGGATCTTGAATTGATTATCTTGTATATATTCTTATTAAGCTGCTACGGATGTACAGAATGGGATGGAAATGGAGAATACCGGGATACCAAAAACATTTATTAAGGCTAAGTAATCTCGAGGGCTTACCGCTCCTTGGGTCCCAGCAGATGGCGACGCAGACAGACGGGCGTGCCGCCCACACTGCGTGAGCCGCGTGGTTCGCGCAGCGGCGACGCATTGACTTTCTCGCGGTTCTCGCAGCTCTTTTTGCGGGTCTTGAGGAAGCGTTTGCGACGACGCTGCTGACTGGCATCGGGTGCCTCCTGGCCGCTGCGGCGACGCGAACGCGTGGAGGCGCGTCGCAGTATCAAGGGACTGGGCTGCGCAGCACTCGGATAGTAGTGGCAACTGCCAAGATTGCGTTGCTGCATGTCCAGCTGAATCTCCTGCATGGAGGAGGTGTCTATGAAGTCAATGTCCAGCTGCTCATCCGTATCACACTCATCACCCGCATCCTGGCCGGTGTCCAGCTCCGAAGCGCAGTCGGTTGGGTCCGAGTCGCTGCTGCAAGGGTTGCAAGAAGAAGAATAAAGAGCTGCTCGCGACTTTGCTGTCTCTCTAGAGGACTCACCTGAGTATGTCCGTTTCCTTCTCGTAGATATAGCTCTCATCAAACTTGCCAATCATCTCGTTAAGTGTGGCCTCATCGTCGCTCACGAGAAAGGAGTCCAACGGCTGCTGCTGCTGTTGTTGTTGTTGTCGCCGTTTGATGGTATGCGGAGCATGCAGATTTTCCACTTCAGTCGAGGACGACGATGAGCCCTCCGAGCGGGTGTCAGCCCCAGCCACGGCTAAAAGTTTGGGGGTGGCTGCTACGCCACCTGCTCCACCTGCTGCTGCTGGTGCTAAAGGAGTTGTTGTTGCTGTTTTGGCTGCGCGCATTTCCAGCTCAGTGCTTGACTTAATGCCCGACGATGTGGTGGAGGTGGTGCTGGTGGCATCCACATCCAGCCGGCTGCCCGACATCAGCTGCATATGTTCCGTCGTATTGTACCAAGGATTCGTGCGTATGCGCGAACGTTGCCTTGGCGAGGGTGCTGCAAGTGGGCGGGTCAAGTGTATGGGTTAAGTGGTTCAAGTGGTTTAATTGCTCATTTTGAACAATGTCTACTCACATTCAAACAACTGGCAATTGCGCTGCAGCGACAAGGGGCTGGGCTGTGCCTCCAGCACGTTGCCAAAGTTACTTTTGGGCAGCGGATCCATGGGTGACATCTCCTCGATACGATTGAGTCCGAACTTGGTGGCCAGCGTGTTGGCGGAGCGACTGGGAAAGTAGTGGGTGCCACTGCGCATGTTGATGTAGTACTCGGGCGCCGGAGGATTGGCACTGCTGGCCGCACACGGCGAGTTGCCATCGGTGGAGTAGCCCGTGGAGTAGGCGCTCTCCGGCGAGGAGAGGCTGTGCGGCCGGGGACCGGGCACGAAGTTGCCACGCGGCATGCCACGTGGTGCACGCAAGCGGCCCAGCTGTTGGGTCACAGCGGGTGGAGGCGGCGGTGGTGGTGCCTCCAGCTTGGAGGGCAACAGACGGCCATAGTGCACATGATTCTTGGACTGCTGCTGTTGCGGCTCCTCCTCGTAGACCAGCTGCAGACTGGCCAGATTCTCGGACTGTGGCCGCTGATAGTCCAGCATGGGCGCTTGTGGGCGTAGCAGCAATGCGCCCACCTCCTCATAGTCCACCTCGTCCTCGATGGGCGCCTGGTAATCACTGATGATTTCAATATGCTCCACCTTCTGGCTAACTAGCTTCGCTTGGCTGGACTGCATGGAGGGCTCCTTGGAGCCGGTGGACCAGGACAGCGATGAAATGGATGAAGAGGAGCAATTGACGCGCATGGGTGACTTGTCGGCGCTTGTGGAGCTGCAGCTATCCTTGCCCGGCACGCTCAGCTGCTGTGGCTGCAACGGCTGCAATGGCGCCAGCGTCTGGTGGCATTGATAGCGATGCGGAGCGTACAGCAGATTATCCGACTTGGGTGATGTGATGGAGGTGTGTGTATCCTGATCCGGCGATTGCCAGCCGTACCGACTGGGCGTCTAAGGGGGTTCGGGTGAGAGATTAGGTAGAATCTCGTATGGAAGATTGATTATGGCTACTCACATGACATTGGATGGGCGACACCTCGCGCCGGCGCACCGGGCTGGCAATGCTGTGGCTGCCACTGCTGGTCAGCACAGGACTTGTCGTGGACTTCAGATTGCTGCTGTGAGGCAGCGTGCCCGCCTTCTTGGCATGGGTGGCACTGCTGCTCCCACCACCTCCTGCTCCTGCTCCGCCACCATCTGCCTGCTGCTTGTTCTTATTATTCTTCTTGCGTGGACGCACAATGTGCGTTTCCATCCAGGAACGCAACTTGGAACCAAACATGGTTTCTCCTTGACTTTCTCTCTCTCTCTCTCTTGCTCTGTCTGTTATCAAATGTTAGTCTAAATGGACGGATTGTTGTTTCTGCTGCTGTTGGAATATGAGAAGCAGAAAGGATGCCATTAAAGTATTTGCTCAGCTCCGAAATGCAATTCCATAATATGTCTGGGACAATGGCTGGCAGTTTGCATTGGGCTCGTGGGCTGCCTGCAAAACTGACTCCTGGGGCCACTTTCCGTTGATAAGAAAATCCATTTATGACAGCACAAAAGCCGCCTAACGCACAGTGGTGCGCATAGTGTGCGCAAAGTGTGCGTGAATACATAACATGTTATGATTTTTAAGGTAATTCAGTTTTAAAATTAAAATAATAAATACACGTAATCAATTTATATTAGTAAACTACTTTACTATAATCAAAATCTTAAATTTAACTATGAAATTAAAAAATAAAAAGTAATAATATATTTTTATATACATATGTATGTATATTTCTTACTAATGATAAAATAAAAAAAAACAGCGTTATGTTAAAAAAAAAAAAAAAAACATTGTAATAATATAATAATAATTGTATGAATTTAAATCTAATGTAAGCTAAGATTTATGTATTCACTTGTTTGGTCTTGATCCACTGTGTGCAGCAGCAGCAAAAGGCTTTCATATTTGCTATAGTTTTCAACAGTAAGTATGCATACATACATACATATGTATGTGTCTCTGTGTGTGTTGGTATTTTTTGCGAAATTACCTTATTCGCAAATGTCTGTAGCCTCATAATATCCTTTACGCCTGTTTTTATTGTGCGGCACACGAGATGAAAGCCCAACTACACACACACATAACACAGCGTATACGAGTCTCTTTATCTATATGTGTGTCTGTGGATGCGTGTGTGTGCGCTTACGTTAGGCAGACAGCGAGACGACTCGACGTCTGGCAACGCTGTAGCTGTGTGCGGCTGTGTGTGTGTTTGTTTATTTTTTGTTGACGTTTTTTAGGCGCACACAAACAACGACGACGATGTTTCCTGGTATGATATGCGTGTGTGTGTGCGTTGCTTGGGGGTTGTTTGTAAGCTGAGATGCACGCCTAATGCCGCTTCAAGGACTCATCGGACTCATGCTGTGCTCCAGAGTTACTCAACGTTACGTGGGTGTGCTTGTGTGTGTGTGTGGGGGTTGTCTGTGTGCCTTTATAAGCCTCCCCTTTTGGGGAAATGATACGTAGCTGGGTTGTAAATCCAAACGTAACTGTAAATTTTTATGTCAAGCTATTTTCAATTGTTGTTTCGTTAAACTGCACCGTGAATATTTTATTTGATTTGATTTCTTTATAGCATTGCCCGTACGATTTAAATGCGTAAGTGTATGTGTCTGTGTGTGCGTATGCATATATTTGATTCGAATGAAATTTTAGTTTAGGCTTTAAGTTCAGTTTGCGTAGTTTCGTTTTGATTATTTTGATATGCAAATTAATTGGAAATATGCCCGGCAACGTATAATTTAAAAAGCAGAAATTTTGCCCACTTCTGGGCTGCAAGAGATGAAAGAAGACTTTTTCACTGTCTATATTGAGTGATGTATTGGTATGTGCTTGTGTCGGCCTTAGTTTTATTTTATTTTTTGGTGGTAGCAATAATATGTGCGGCTGAAATGGCGTTTGCTGCGCGGCGAAAGAGAGCGACTGCCGCCGCTGAAGTGAAAAAAGCAACTAACGGAATGCGCAGCCACCAAATCGTAAGGAAGCTTAATGCTAACAGACATCACTTTGAGAAAACATTTTAAAATACAATGAATTCGATGGTTAATGCGCTCATAAAAACTATATCACTAAAGCAGTTATTTTGTATTTTTAAATCTATAAATCAAATAAAGTATGCTATATAATTTGAAAATAATGTATGTTAACGTTAACGTCATGTTAACGTTATCGATATACCGCCACACACTGTTAGTGTGGATAGCATAATAAATCGATATTGTAATGTTCCATCTCTGCGCCATGCATTATTGTAAAACATAAGCAAATTTTTTGCGCTAATTTCGTTTACAAATTTAATTCATGTGATTCATTGTCTTTTATTGAAATTTTAACATGCGGTGCTATTACGAGGAGTTGGGCGTAGCCCGTGACTCCAACGAGGCTGACATTAAGACAGCTTACCGGAAATTGGCATTACGTTGGCATCCAGATAAAAATCCAGACTGCCTGGCCGAAGCAAAGGAACGCTTTCAGCTAATCCAACAGGCCTACGAGGTTTTATCCGATGGGCAGGAACGTGCCTGGTACGATAACCATCGCGAGCAAATTCTGCGGGGCAAGAACTCTGACTACTCCGAGAACTGCTTGGATGTGTTTCCCTACTTCACCGGATCTTGCTACAAGGGCTACGGAAATGATGCTCAGGGCTTCTATAGCGTCTACCGCGATGTTTTTAACAAAATTGCTGCCGAAGATATGGATTTCATGGACAGCGACGACGAGGGCATGAGCGCGCCACAATTCGGCGATGCCGACAGCAGTTACGAGGATGTGGTCGGTCCATTCTATGCCTACTGGCTTTCATATAGCACCAAAAAGACTTACGAGTGGCTCTGCCCGTACGATGTGCGTGAGATCAAGGAGCGTTTCATATTGAGGAAAGTAGAGAAGGAAATGAAGAAGATTGTACAGAATGCGAGAAAGGAGAGGAATGAAGAGGTTAGTAGCAGATGGAAGTGCTATATAGGCTAGTATTTAATTAATGCTCTCTTTTTGCAGATTCGTAATTTGGTTTCATTTGTGCGCAAGCGTGATCGTCGTGTGCAGGCCAACAGGCGTGTGTTAGAGGAGCGTGCCGAGGCCAATCGTTTGAAGCAGGAGGAGAAGCGCAGGGAGCAGTTACGCCAGCGTCAAGAGCAGCTGGCAGCAGTGCGTGCCAACAAGGTGGACAACGATGGTTACGAGGAACAGCTCAGGCAGCTCGAGCAACAATATGGCAGCGAGTCAGACGAGTACACCGATGAGGACGATGAGGACGAGAATGAAGATGATATCGATGCAGAGAACGCAGACTCGGACAATTTGAGTGAGCAGGAAGTGGAGTATGTAGATGATCTGTATTGTGTGGCATGCAACAAGTCATTTAAGAATGCCAAAGCACGCGCCAACCACGACGAGAGTAAAAAGCATCGCGACAATGTGGAGCGCCTCTGTCAGCAGATGGAGGCCGAAGAGCAGGAATTTAATGAACACAGCGCAGAGCTGGAGGCAGCTGAGGAAAGTCTAGAAGAACTGCAGCTGAATGGCAATCACGAAGCGGACTTGGTCAGCGATGAGGCGGCAAACGACCAAATGAGCAACAAACGCAACAAGAAAAACAAGAAATCGAAAAAAGTTGCCACCAAGGCTGCTGTAGAAAGCGATGATGAAGACGAATCCGCGCCAGCTGTCAACTTCAATGCGGCGCCAAGCAATAGCGAAGACGATGACAACGACGATTGGAGTCGTGGCAAAAAGTCAACTAAAAAGACAAAAAGCAAAAAGTCAACACCAGCAACAAATGTCAGCAAACAGAAAGTTGAAGCGGCGTCAGCTGAGGCAAAGCCAACAGCCGCTGCGCCGGCCAAGACGGCGCGTGGAGGTGATGATACGGTTGAGGCAACTGTTGTGCAACATACTTGCGTCACATGCAAACTGTCGTTCGACTCCAAGAACAAACTGTTTGCCCATCTCAAGAAGACCAATCACGGCGTCTACATACCCAAGGCCAAGCCGGATGTCGAGGGCAAGCCACCTGGCAAGGGCAAAGGGAGGCGAAACAAGTGAAGTTTCTCTTCGGTTTATTTGGCTGTTTCGGTTGCAGTTGCAGTTGCCACTGCAGCTGTCCTTGTAGAAATTCTAGTTGTTTATTTATGCTTATGCTAATGTTAAATCGTTAAATTCGAAATTAAATTAAGTGTACACGCCCAATTGTCGGTTGAATGTTTTAGCTGCCATAGATACGAGATTGGCTATGGAATGCAAACGAGTTTGCTGCCGGACTCGATGCGCCGGCGCACGCGTGTTCGTAAATTGGAGGATTCGGCTTTTAGACTGATGCCTGCGGCTGCGAAAGTCAACAGGATGCCAACCAGGGCGCAGTAGAAGGAGATGCCTAGCAATGCAACAAGTGAATTAATCAGAAATTCCTGTATATACATATATATACGTTATTCTTACCTATACTGCAGTCAGCTGGATAGAAGGGTTCCGCCTCCTGGCCGCAGAGGCGTTGTACGCGCGCAGCCCGCCAACCCAAGGGATGCAAAAACAGGGCCAACATCACAGCTATGCCTGCAGAGGATTAGTGAAAGATTTGGTGGTATTATTGATATATTATGACAATGCTAGAGCTCACCTGCTAGCACCTGTGCACAGGCCGTCATGTTGTGTATGCTCTTGCCAAATGCCGACTGCCTACAGCAAGTGAGCAGCGTAGCGCACACTGTCAACGAGAGCAGCACCAGCCCCAGCGAAAGGCAAAACATGGCCAATTTCCATTCCAATGGATAGACACTGCCATCGGTGGCAAAGCCATCCAGGTCGAAGCGTCCACAATGATAGCCCAGCTGTTGCATCTGCTTGCATCGCGTATAAATGCCCACAGACTCTAAACGCTGATTAGAACCGGGCGTGGCCAGACTCCAATTGGCGCCGCCAATCGAGGGTCCAATTAGCCATTTGGGTGTGACCAAAGCAACGGCCACGAACATATCCGCGACCAGGGTGCACAGAAACCAGACTAGACTCACACTTGTGATGATAACGTAGCACATTTTGCTTAACTTTATGTTTTTTTGCGCAGTTTGTGAACAATTTCTTCTTTTATTTTCTGGTTCTTTAGTTGGAAACGTTGTCAGAACACGCGTCCGCTTCGGCCGCATACATAATCGTCTCTAGCATTTGGCTATGCGTACACACACCCACATCCACAACAAATAGCACCACCACCAACGGGGCGACTTCCTTTCAGCTGACCAGCTCGAAATGGTATTGTTTATTTTATATGCTTTCCACTCGCCGTTGTCTGTTTTATGTTATTCATTCACCCCATTCACACACACGCACGCACACAGGCACAACCACACTCCCAGTCGAAAGCGAACGAAAGAAAATAGTCAAACTTTATAGTTGTTGTTGTAATTGAAGCTTAAACTGCAGCTGCTGTTGGCGTTTTCTTCTTTCTCTTTCTCACTCTGTACGCTTTTCAATTTTGCAATATTATTATAATTTTTTTTTTGCTGCAGCTCCCTTTTGCGCAGGCGTTGTGTACGCGTTGAACGGAGTCTGAAGAAAAACTGAATGAATGGCGCGCATTGAAAGCAGCCGAACGTCTGTCGAAGCGCATGCCCAGGCCAGATGTGTGCGCCGCCAGTGCAAGGGGGAATAGGTGGTGGAGTGGGGCGAAGCCAGAAGGCGGGCGCAACAAGAGCGGACAACAGAAATCCAGACATTCCAGACGAGCGCCCAGCAAAATGTTCTCACATGCATACACTAGCATACAGAAGTATGCATACGACTCTATATTCAGAAATGCACAATCAATTCGTCGTGTCTTAATATCTGATCAAAATACATACATACATATGTACAATAAACATTAATCTTCTTATAAATAAAAAGACTCGAAAATGATAATTATTTACTAAATAAAATAAAATAATTTAAATAAGCTGATTTTATGCACCTACAGAGCCTTGTTTATATCAATACTTTTTTAGCTTACTGCATTTCCTACTGTCTCTCCGCTCGTTCGCTCTGTTGCTCTCATTCTATGCTGGTTTTGCTCTCCTTGTGCTTTGCATGTGCACACATATGTATATTGGAGTTGGTTCTGTTTGACCCCGACTCCGTACTCTGTCTCTCTCTCTGCAGCCCGCTTATGCCGGCGATGAGTAATAAGCGGCGGGTATTTGGTTCTCTTTGAATGCAAATGAAGTTTCGTAATGCCAGCAATCGGCGATCTGTCTGGCCTGGCTTATCAGTTAGCACCCCCCCAAGTGATTTACATGTTCGGCTCCATTGCATCATACGCGTTGTGTACTTAAGGCAATTACTGTTACTGTAGCAATGATCGTGACCGGGCAAAATGAATTGCGCACACATGTTGAAATCACTTTCACTCTCACTTGGCGCCAATAGGACAGCTGACTTCTACATTTCAATTTCAATCTCAAGAGCTATCGCAATCGCAATTTGTCGTTCAGTCAAAGATGCTGTCACTACCGGTGTTTCTGTTTTTGCTCCTTCAACTGTTGTCCGTCTACTGTTACTATCACGAGTACCGTTACTGGGAGATAAATGATCCGCCGCCCATATGCTCAGAGTATGAAATGCTGATTGTGAATACACACCAATGTGTGCGCCGTTGCAATATTGTGTGTCAGCGCGGCGTTTGCTTTGAGGATGGACCGTGTCCTTGTGCGGATCAGTATCAAAGCTCACATGGCGACAGTGTGGTATGTGCCGCCGAATGCGTACCCGGCTGCCAGCAGGCAGGTGGACACTGCGCCGGTCCCGAACTCTGCATTTGCCGCAAGAGCAAACACTACTACTACGATCCAGTGGCGCGCCGTTGTCGTCGTCGTGGACCCCGCCTTTTGGATCTATGCGGCGGGTAATTCAAATTTTTAATTACCAAAATCATATTATTTGGTGTTTACTTTTCTCTTCTCTTGTAGTCGTTGCATTCATGGTCGCTGCTCGTATGATGGTCGCTGCATCTGTGCTCAGGGCTATGAATTGCGCAGTACTCTGCTTCACGGCTCCCAATGTATGCCAACCTGTGATCAGTAAGTGTTGCACAACATCATAAATACACACAACGTCTAATCTCCAACATCCTACAGCGACTGTGGTCCCAGAGCCTATTGCTATGCTCCCAATATGTGCGCCTGTCGGCACAAGCATTATCACTATGCTTGGAATGGAAAATGTACCAAAGACTACTAAGTGATTTGTTAAAAGTGATAACAGGGCTGTTTTAAGTCCATTTTAATTTATACAAAATAATTATTATTAAAATACTATGCCAAAAATAGCAAATTGAAGATTAGCGTCTCATGTGGATTTAGCTTTATTGAAATCAAAATGCCTACCATTCATTTTACAGCGCATTAACAGTTTGAGAGTAGGGTAGGAAGAATAAGCGAAAAAAGAGAGAGGGAGAGAGAGCGATGAGAGCACGCATGCTTTTCCGTTTGAGCAGCTGGGTAACATAAAGTTTAATGCCGTATTTGTTATTGTTTATATTTTGTGTTTATAGTTGCAGTGCTTGTTTCCGAAAGTAACAATTAAATTCATTTCTTAATCAGCTGGCTATTGACTAAGCCGCTCAAAAACAAAAACTCCGTTGCTCTGCAAAAGCCGAATGCGTACGTGTGGTCCAGTGGCGTGGCTTGAAAAAAACATTCTTATAGTTTTAAGAGGGGACCAGTCAATCCCCTCTGCCATGGCCCTGACATTGGCGCGGCAACCAGTTTAAGGCGACCAACTGAAATGAAACGCTTGATAAGCTTGAGTTTTGGTACCAACACAATCACACGCACATCAATAGACACATTCCCTTTGTGACCATATGTAAAGTGCGCTAATTTGTGTATTTCGTAGGGTATTCGAGTTTTAATAATATGTCTTGCTCACATTAGATAAAGAAAGAGCGATCAGCGTGTTGGCGGCGAAGGCAGCGGTAATAACAAGCGCGTGTGGCGTGTTTTTATTTATTCTTGTTGGGGCAGGGGCTCGCTGCGCTGCTCAGTTGTCAGTTGCCGACGTCACTGGCAGCGACTGCGGCAGAGGCGGCAGTATTCGTTCTTCAATGCTTGTGGGCTCTGTCGATAGCAGCAGCAACGTCGCATTCAGTTGGAGTTTTGCTTTCCAGCAGTGCGGTTCGGCCTCCTCCCAAGTAATTTCCCCTTTGCTCATCTACTCCTCTCTTTGTGCATACGTATTGTTTGTGCATTTCTTGCTGAATTTTATATCAATTTGCAATTTTAAACAAGCTTAAGTAAATCGACTGTACTTAAAAGCAATCATGGGCCAAATCAGGGTAAGTACAATTACATAATAGTGTGGTTGCTCATATCTATTTACGAATGTATAAGTAAAGCAGATAAAATGCTATTTTAATTTATGTGCACAAATGAATATGGTTTCCTTTATGTATAGATATTTAGCTACCTGTTATCCTTTGACAAGCTGGCAACGCTGATATATATAAAGCGTGGGAATATTTATAGTTTCACATGTTAAGTGATTAGAAGCGTCTGTTTATAAGTGCGTGTGTGAGTACTTGCGTGCTCGTGTCTGTAGTGAAAGTTATGTAATAGAACAGAGAAGCGTTTAAATTGCCATAAAAATGCAACAATTTATTCACAGTGACAGTGAAGCTGAAGGTAAATTCGCTTTAGCGCTTTCGTGGCGTGTCAATCACTATTTGTCTCATTGATTAGAACGCTTTAGGTAATTATATTAATATATGCATATTTTCGAAAATCAAAAATGACATGCAAACATGCATATGTATGTTATATCGAGCACACATACATATGTACACACAAACATATATAATAGATTTTAAAGTAGGCGGGGCTGCTGCGTAGTTCTCAAGGCACGCACGTCAGCCAAAAAAAACTTGAGCAGAAAGAACAGTAAACAAGATATATGTATGTGTTTGTGTGTTTTGTGTTTTATAATAGTGTGTGTTAACAGAAACAATCAACTAAAAAAGTGGCGTGAATGCAGTAAACCGGTTAATGCATTACCGTTGTCCAATAATATTTTCATCTCGTTTTGGCAACAAAAACAAAAGTGCATAATTAAGTTGACTTTGTGTGGGTATGTATGTACATACACACCTACATATGTATGTATGTGTCTATGTATGAGCGGGTGGCGCTATAATGTGCTCAAGCAATTAGTGATGGGCGTTTGACATGAAACAAACACGCATTAAAATAAAGTATTAAGTGCGCTTTTGATATTTTTAGATTATTTTGATTTTTAAAATGCGCAAAATATTGTCTTTCGATGTATTATTAATGCTAAATTATTTGTGACATTTAATCTAAATATAAAACTAAAAATTGTATTGTATGTAGTCGTGCATATTTGTATCACGCGCCCATCTCCTGAGGTCTTTAAGTGATATGCCGAATAGTCAGTGTCGTGCCAAGCTTATCAAAAGCCTGTTCCCGGTTGGGGGCTACCGATATCGGGTATATGGAAAGTTCTTTAAAGTTCTTTTTATTATTGGGTGTTTTGATAAGCTGCAGGTGTTAATTATAGATTTATAGATTTATGTCAGTTAAGTACATTTTGTTATATGCATAAATTAATTGATTGGAATTTTTCTTTGGCACACAGAAAGCTTCGTCGGCATTGAGCAAATTGTTTGTCTATGGCGCCTTGAAATACGGACAGCCAAGCAACTCGATCTTGGCCAACACGGGCAATGGCTACGCTAATTTCTGGTGCCGTGCAACGACGACACAAAAGATGCCTTTGGTGATTGCCACGCGTTATAACATTCCATTTTTGTTGAACAAACCCGGCGTGGGATATTATGTAACCGGCGAGATCTATGAGGTAAGTGTTTATCCATGTGCATAAATAGATCAGCGATTCGGTTAACTAATTTATATGCTATATAGGTCGACGATCGTATGCTAAACTCGTTGGATAATCTGGAGGATTGCCAGGATGTTTACACTCGCGAAATTCAGGATATGAACATTGGCGTTGGGGAGGGGTAAGTGCCACGCAGCTGATAATGACGTCAATAATTTATTTTTATGTTTATATATTTAAATTTATTTATAAACATTTTTCTATTTGCAGCACCGTTCCATGCTGGGTCTATCTGCTGCAAAAATATCCAGAGAAGCTGCTCTCGCTGCCCTATCTGTCTAGTTATGAGAATAGCTCTACACATCCGTATATTATGCGACATCGCCGCACACACAAGCATCCAGCACAGGATGATCTCACCTATGAAGCAGCTCAAAACTAAAATGTGTTCGAAAAGAAAGGGCGTGGCCAATTAATATTATTATTATAACTACCGGTAGTTGCATTTGTAGAACATATACACAGACTTTATATACACACATACATATATACATATTGCTATATATAAATATATATTACATGCGTACGATAGTTGATAGATTGAACGTAGTTTGTAATTTTATAAGTTTCGAGTAAATAAAAGCAATTCGAGATAAATACTAGAAACAAACATTTCATATTTGCCAAGACCCAACAGGTGCGCTGACTTTGTTATTATATAAATAGCGCGTGTAAACATTTGTTATTCTGTGATCGGTGTATTTCCCTACAGCTGTGATGTTAATTGTGGAGCAGCACTGTTAACTTAACATGTGGTAATCTTATCACTTGTCGCCTTTTCCAGTGATTGACAATTTGGCTGAAATTCATCCAGAAACTACTTATCAGATCTATGATTAACATTCCATTAGAGGCTAATCATGTCGCAGGCACTTAAAAGAGTCTTCGTCTATGGCACCTTGAAGAAAGGCGAACCGAATCACCATTGGTTAACCAGCGAAAAAAATGGCTTCTCTCGGTTGCTAGCCAAGGGCAAAACAGAGATTAAATTTCCCCTGGTTATTGGCACACGTTACAATATTCCATTTCTGCTAAATAAGCCAGGTGTGGGTCACAATATTGAAGGTGAGATTTACGAGGTGGACGATACAATGTTCTCAAATTTGGACGTGCTAGAGGATTATCCCAGATACTACGATCGTGAGCTGCAATCGATATTGACAAATGAAAATGAGTAATGGGAACAGCTGTTCTTCTTGATTAAATATAATTAACGCGCCCTTTGTTTAAATTAAGCAGAAAATTGGAGTGCTGGCTCTATCTGATACGCAACTATCCGGAGAGTATGTTGGCCAAACCCCAGCTCAGCTCATATAGCAATCGGCCCGAGCAGCCGTATAGTGAGAAGTCAGTCAGAGATCCGAAAATCGCAGCCAGATATGATTTATCCTATTGAATATATAACATTTTTGCAGTTATGTCCAGAGTAAGCCAGAAGATCTTTTCACGGATAGCTAAAGAAAGCCAATTTCCACCCTGGAACAGAAATGGCGAGAAGAGAGAGCGCTATTGCTAAAGAATTAAATTTATAAACGATTATAAAACGAATTTCAACGCATGGCTATTATTCATACTCTCTTCTATTACATTGATTCCATAATTCAAAAAAATGCAAACGAAATGAACAATATTTCTCTTATTTTTCGGTTAAATGGTAAAGGGTTAATCGAAAAGCCTAAAAAAGTGTTTACAATTATGCATGCAGAACTCGTAATAAACTTTTGTTTGTGTTTTCTGTTTTGCTATAGCTCCAAATCAGATTAGATCAAGCTTCTAGCTTGAGTGTAGCACATAAGATGAAAACGGTAAATTTTTGCTGTTTGTTTGTTGCTTGTGGTTTGTCGGCATCGTGATCGTTGGCATGGACATGGCCTAGCTGTCGGCCTCATCATCGAGCGACTGGAATCGATTGGTGGCTGCAACGGGCGCAGCGGTTGTCTCCTGCACTCGCTGGTAGCGACCGCCGTGTCGGACTTCTTCGAAGGCGGGTTCGTTTTTCTTTTTGCGCTGTTCCTCCGGCCGGGCTGCGCTCAGCGTCGGGAAGAACTCCGTGTTGGTGATATCAGGCGCCGCGCGCCTCGTACGCAGGCCACCGCTGCTGCCGCCGAGGCCCATCCCGCTGCCAGCTTGCTGCAAGGTGAACAAAGTCCAAAGAATATCGTACGATATTTAGCAAATCAGTTGCTGCAATACGATATGTATATGTATAATACTTACGGCAGCACGTAACGCGGGTGAAATGTACATTTTGGACGATGACTTCTCTGTTTCCACCGGCACCGGTATTTGAGTCACCTCCTCTGCGGGTATTAATTTCTTCCAGGGACCAAATCCGCTTCGTTTGCTATTTTGATCTCCATTGCCGTAGCCATCGCTATCGTCATCATCCTCATCGTAAATATCATCAGATTGCTGTTGCTGTTGTTGCTGCTGCTGCTGCTGTTGCTTATCAGAGATGGTCAGTTGACCAATTTTTAAACCACTGTAATCCTTGCGTTGCTCCTGCTCAAACTCTTTCCATTCCTCCTCCACGGGCTGCGCACGCCAACAATAACAATTAGTGAAAATTGGAAACTTGATTGCAATTTGATTGCAACTCTCACCTCGATGTTTGGCTCTGGCACTTTGATGTTGCTCTCGTTTTCGCCGCCTTCTGCCACGCCGCCAGCCAAAGTAGTCGAGACTTCAAGTTTTTTTGGTTTGACAGCAGTGGCCGCCACCTCACGTTTCGTGCACTCCTCTAGGTTCCTCACTAGCTCATCGGCTGTCACAAATTTGCTCTTGGATTTCGACTTCTTCTTGTCCTTTTTCGCAAAGAAATCGTCCAATTCGGCCATGCTTGCAATAATTTTTCGCGATTCCCTGTTCCAAATTATAATGAAATCCAATCGCACTTGCGTGAGGTGGTATGTAAAAATAAATCGCTATCGATAGTGCCTATCGATGATTGAGCCACACGTGGTCAAAGTTTCCTTAACATACGTTTTAATTTATTGTTAATATAAGCAATGCATTTATGTGTCAGCTTTTTCAGCTACAAATTTGCAATGTTTTAGTTTATTGCACGTTGCATTGCCCAGTCTTTGTAGGCCAATTTCGACCGTAACGATGTATTTCGATTATACTAACTTAATATAGTTATGTGTGCATTTTGGTGCTGAGAAAATATACAATATTAACTCAATCAAAGTGTATCGAAATTAGTTGTGAAAGTGTATAATAAAGCTTCAAATATTTCAGTAAAAGTGACATATCGATATGAAAATTGTTCAGACACGAACTAGTTTATATAAAATTTTGAACAAGGTGGCAGCACTGACAGTAATTAAATATTCGCAACGGTTATCGACAGTTAGTCATTTGGCGGTTCAATTAAAAGAGTTTTTACATATGTATTTCGATTTTGATATTAAGCCGCATTTGCATAATTTTTGCATAATTAACGTTTATGGGGATTTTTAGCAGATTGTACGACTGGCACAATTTGCAATGTTTGGCAATAAACTTTGATAATATGCATGAGATATTGATAATTACATAATATTCGAAATGAGGCAAAACGCAAAATCCAAATTAATTGTATTCGCTTTTGCAAGCAGACAGCAAACAAATTTACATGATTAATTATTGATGCGAATAAATATGCTAATGGGCCATAAATGTGCATATTTAACCAACGTTTAAACAATAAATGTTTGCAAATTGCTTTGCACTCTAAATAATGTTTGCAGTTCATAGTTGACCAGTTTAATGGTCACCCAAAGACTATATATATATGGGTTATAAGCTAAGGCCGCAATAAGACTTCCTTTTTTTTTTGTTTTGCCGCATTCGTTATTGTTGTCAAAGTTCCGCAGAATTTGCTAAGCAAATGTGTGCGCCAAATAGATATTTATGACTGCAGCTTGCAGCGCTTGCCACATCCACTATAACAGTCAACCAGTTAATAAATATATATATATATATATATACATACATATCTATGTAGTATGTGTATATGGATGGAGTTTCAGTTTCGATGCGCAGCGCACTAAAAATTCAAAAGTCGTTTCATTCATATTGACAAGCGCACAGCTCGAGGTGTCTCAGTCTTCTTTTGAACGCCGCACAGCGCACAGCTCGCTGCCTCCAGCCTTATATATATATATATATCGGTCTCTTTCTCTATCTCGCTCTCTCTCTCTCTCTATATATATATATATATATCGCTTTGATCGTACATCTCGTGTGCTCGTGGCAAGCTACACTTTCGATTAAATCATTTTTCTCGTATTTGATAACGCGACGCGTTTCGTTTTGGTGTTCATAACGTGTTTTTTGGCTATTGAAACATATTTCAATTAATTAAAACTTTACAAAAGGTAATTAAAAAAAAAATAAAAAATAAAAAGAAACAGTTGCAATTGCCAACACCTCGCGCTCTTACATTTGTTCATAGCAAATGTACAACAATAAAACTTTAATAATTATATGTTAAATGTCGCTGCAATTGCTTTTTGACCTCATATTATGTTTATTCTTATATTTTTGTATTTTCTTGCACTCGCGCAATTAGCTTTGGGCAAAACACTTTTAAATAATTAGCTTAAAGCAATTTGAAACATTTGGAGTGCTATTAGCTGACCAGCGAAGCGTTTAATTTGTAAACAATGTTTCTTATTAATTATTTAAAACATGAAAAACAAAAGAAAAATAAAAAAACAAAAAAGAAAAAAAGTAAAACAATTAAAACTGTTGAACTTTGCATCATCAAAAATGCTTTTTGGCTTCAGCTGGGTCACGGCCCATGTCAGGGTCATGCTGATCTGATTGATGCTGCAGCATCCACTTGAGCGTAGCTAGTTTTTCTTTTCAATATGTAAGTTCAAATCATTTCCGCATAGACCAAATCCTTGAATTAATTTTGTTTATGTGATTTGATCTTTTTTTATACTCTGCATATTTAGAGCTTAAGTTCATTGGAAGTCTTCGAAAAGGTTTGCCAAGCTCGATTCATAGATTGAATATCATTTTGAGCATTTATATAAGGTTTAAACTATATACACAAACATTTCCTCAAATTTGCGTTTGATTAGCATATATTAAATATTTTTTTTTTTTTTGTAGACTTAGTTCCTTAAATTGATTATCATTTTATTAGGCTCAATATAAACTAATTAAGACTTTAAATATTAGACAAAAATTTTATATGATATGAATTTTTGTTATTAGTTATATTAAATTTTTATAATTATGAGTTAAGCATTTAATAAATAAATAAATAAATATTTTTTTTTTATTTTTAAATTATTATTTTATTTAAAAATAAAAATAAATAATATTTGGTAAAGTAAAGTTTTCGTATATATTTTAAAAACATTTTTGAAAACACTTTAAAATATATATACATTTTTAATTTTTAATAAAATTTATATATATATTTTTAATTATTTAATGTATTGAGCTGCAATTTTTTAGCGTATATTTAATTCGTTTCTTTTTCTGTCTGTTTATTTCCATCTTTTATTTCTCTTTTATTTGTATTGATACATTTTGATCATTTTGAGCGTATCTCGAATTAATATTCGTTTCTTTGGGCTTGTGTGTCAATGGCAGTCGCTGCAAACCTATTTACATACTGGAGGTTGCTGCTTATTATTTATTTATTAACTCATTTGTTGTTGCCTTCTTTTTTGTCTTTTCTTTTTTGGCTATGTCTTAAGCATCTCACATAGTTAGCTAGCAAAATGGCCTAAAGGGACGTCAGGCAGACTTGCGTCAAGTGGCAACAGTTCCAAAATTTGGTTTTCAGCTGTTTCTATTAATTTCATGGCTAATCTGCTACCCTGTATTGAGCATGAGCTGGGTATATTGGTTTGGATGTCAATTCAAGAACTTATAGAAACTTATAGCAAATATATGAATAGAATTGATCTTAATATTTGATATAATCTGATTTTGAACTGTAATATAATTCCATGTAAATTCACCATCAACACACTCTTATATAGTTGCATCTGTTTTTTTCTCATTTCGTTCCAAATCACAATAAGATTTTGATATGGTCACAACTTGTGAACTTGAACTTCTATAGACTTTATTTGCGAAATGTAAATCAGCTCTAAAAGTATTATTTACTAAAAAATATTATAGCTCTGTTTAGATCTATACTCCATTAGTATACCATTACCATTACCATTCAAGTACAGTAAAGCCTTAGTATGATCTATCATACATATATATTATGCTATCAATAACTTTCTTCAACTATTTGACATCATACACCCCATATGTATATAACTTATTCTAGGGTACTCACTCTTTTGTTTATATACTCATACATTATATCTAGTATATCTAATATAACTTAGATCAATCGAATTAGTTAAAATACATTTGAACTTTAGGTGAACTGCATTTAGCTTCGTGTCGGATTCGACGTTTTCCGTGTTTTTCTCTTCGTAGAAAACTCTAATAATCATAGAAAATTTATCGTCAAGACTCTCCGAGCTCTATTAATGAGCAGAGAGCACTAGCTACCGACTCTATTATCATTGCAAAATGTAAACAACGCATTTGAAATGCTTAAGAAATACTATATAGTACTAGTAGCTAATCAAACCGGTTTTCAAAGAAAATAAGTGTTGTTATTAAGTGCTGTCATTTTTTAAAATAAAGCCAGTTGTCCATAATATGCTAAACTGTGTCATTCATCTGGTGGTGGCTCCAACACGGGCCACAGCCCATCAAATGGTTTGACTACGCATATTTGATTAGAAGCCGCGACAAGTGAGCTCAGCGATTTCCACTAAATACAGTTGCAAGACTGTCGTTATACCCTGTAAGTCGAGATAAGTCATGCATAACGATACGGCATGTCAAGAGATCATAAATCATGTTCATTTGATCCGCTTCGCTGGGGCAATACAAACCGATTTCTTGATGCTATAAGCAAAGATCGGGGCTCGAATTACGCGGCATCGAGTCGGTCATAATCGAGGCTATGAAGTTAAATGAAGCTACAGTTTCTAAATGTATTCACTTACTCTATTTCTTTACTTTGTTCCTTGACTATATAAATCTCTATCTGAATAATCTAGTTCTCTCAGGCTACTACTTGACTTAACCTGATCAGTTAATCCATAAATCTAATACTACATGCAACGCAAGCGTGCCCAACATGATGTCTGTCAATTATGTCAAGAACAAATTATTGTATTTGCTTTTCGTTGTGTTCGTCTTCATTTTTGTTAAAGTCAAAGAAACTATTGCAAAATGGATATATGTACATATATAGGTACATATGTATGTAGATTTTACGGTAGGCCTTGTCTGCTAACTAGCTCTTGTAAATTATGGCCTAAACGATGCTAATAACGTCGGTGTAGATGTAAGTGCATATGCTTATGCTTGTCAAGTTTGAAGCTTTTATATTGCATGCCACAGTGCGCAAGTTCGTTGCCTAAGTCTTTCGTCTGCCCTCTACAGACGAGCAAAAATGTTTAGCGTTTAGTTTTTTCCTTTTTGGTTTCGGTTTCAACTTATTTTGACATTTTCCAAGTGCGAGTGTGTGTGTGTATATATATGTGTGTGTGTGTGTGGCTATGCTCTTTGGTTTTTGTAGACTTTGCGCAGATTTGTTGCCGCCTCGCTATGAATTGGAGACGTAGTGAGATCTTGTGTAAGCTGCATGCAAGTTTTTTTTTTGTTTTTTGTTTTGTTTTTTTGGCTTATTTGGATTTTCCGGGTCTATAGACAAGGGCGACAAAGTCCGCAGAAGCGCTTTAATTGGCAATAAATATGGAAATGAAGCAATTGCCAGTCAAATTAGGAGACAGATGTGAAATGGAAACTCATTGACAGCTGCTGCAGCTGCCGCGATCGCGACTGCAGTTCAGTTAGCCGCATTTACAAGTTGTTTACGTAGTCTAGAGACGCAGTACGATTTCTAGTTCAAGGTACAGCAACTGTATATATATATATACATATATGTGTATGGCTATATAGTACAATTAGCTGCATTGCCTTGTCATGCTGTGTGCTTTCTCGAAGACTTTCCTTAAACGCTTAACTGGGCATATTTTGTTGTTGTTGTTGTTATCTTGAGAAATATCAAATATATGTATATATATATACATATGTGCATATATGTTTGGCTCATTTATGGTAAATGGGTCTAGTGACAAAACGCGAGACAGCCCAAAAACCCGTTCAGTGTGGCATGAAATGCGCGATTTATCAGACTTATTAGCGGCGGCAATGCACGACTAGCAGATGCTCTGTAGATGAGAATGAGCGAGAGAGAGAGGTAGAGCGAGAAGACGTAGAAGAAGATATTAGGAGTGGGAGCGTGAATGAGAAGGAGAGAAATAATGAGAGGCAATGGGAAGAGACATTGAGAGAGAGAGAGAGAGCGAGAGCGAGACAGAGAGGGTGATGGACAGAGAGACTGCGAGAGATATCAAGAGAGAGTAGGAGAACTCCAAAGAGATTTCGGGGAGAGAGATATGGAGAAACAGAAAAATAATAATAAAAGAGATTACAGTCAGCAAAAATATTGTAAAAGACTCCAATCTCACTCCAGTAATATCAAAAGAGAATCATTGAAAGCAGCAGAGATTCTGTAAATCTTATCAAAGGAAGTGCCAAATTTGATATTCTAGTCTGTCATGTCCGTGGCACGCTTTCCAGCAGGGTAGCTGTAAGCGAAACCAAGCAGCTTCGCAAATTGAGGCCGTTTAGAAATGTCAAGCTGCGACTGCGGCCAAAGAGCAAAGCCGCTTTTACTTAAAAAAAAATATATATGTATATATACAAAAAAGTGAAGTAAAATAAAATGAAATGAAAAGTGGCACAATATATTTTGGGCTTTGCGTACACGACTTGGCCAAGTGTAACGCGGACCGCAATCTGAAAAGTTCCAGCTGAAAAGCCGAAAACTCAAAACCCGAATCCAAACCCAAAGAGCTCCAATCTCTGATTTTGCAATTTTTTGTAGGCGATTGCAGAAGACTATCAAAACGTGGCAAGCAAGCGTGGCTGGTGGCATGCTGCATGCTGCGTGTGGTTGTTGCTAATGCAGCTTGCAACACACTCTTTCATAAAAACAAACAGCAGACACGTTAGACTGGCCTGGCCTGGTCTGGCTAGCCCGGGCTGGGTCTGGCTTCGGTCTAGCTTCGCTCTGGCCTGGTCTCTCCGGTCTCCTGGCTACGTCGCGTATTATTGCGACGGCCTTTGCCAAATGGAGCTGTTATTGCAGCTGCTATTGTTGTTGTTGTTGTTGTTGGTATTATTATTGCCAGCATTGTATTACTATTAAACCAATCAGCCAGCCGTCCAGACATTCCACATTGCGTAATTGCAAATGCAAAGAAATGCGAAATGCGAACCAATAGAAACCGAAACCCGTTTACAGCATTTCAGAATTAGCCTAGTTTTTTGTTGTTGTTGCTGCTGCTTGCGACACTTGCTGCTCGGCTTGGCTGCTTGTCTTGGCATTTGTCTATGAAATCGAAAATAATGCCCCGACTCCCACTCCCTCTCTCTTTCTCTATCTCGGCAGCATCAAGATGAACGATCTATCGCCAGTGCAGGAATACTACAAGGATAAGACGATCTTCATCACGGGCGCATCTGGCTTCATGGGCAAGGTGCTGCTGGAGAAGCTGCTCTACTCATGCCACTCGCTCAAGGAGGTGATCATCATTTGCCGCCCGAAGCGCGGCAAGACGCCCGAGACCCGGCTCGAGGAGATGTTCAAGCTGCCCATCTTTCAGCGCATTCGCGACGAGCGTCCGCACATGCTGAAGAAGGTGACCATCTACCAGGGCGATGTGACCTACGATTGTAAGAGAACAACGAACTGATAACCTGTCCTCGAGCTCCACTCTAATCCTTGCTCTCTCTTAATCTTTGGCAGTGCTGGGCCTGAGCGGCGATAGCCTCAAGCATGTGGTGGACAATACGAATATTGTCTTCCACATGGCGGCCACCCTGAAGCTGGAGGGCAATCTGAGGGACGCCATCGACATGAATCTGATGGGCACACAGCGTGCGCTGAATGTGGCCAAGCAAATGAAGCAACTGGAGGCATTTGTGCACCTGTCGACGGCATTCTGCAACTGCGACCAGGAGGTGATGTACGAGAAGGTCTACGACTTTCCGCACAAGCCCGAGGATCTGATGCGCCTGGCCGAGTGGATGGATGTTAAGACCCTGGATGCCATTACGCCCGATCTATTGAAGCCGCATCCCAATACGTACACCTATTCGAAGCGTCTGGCTGAGCTGCTGGTGCGCGATCATTACGAAACCATGCCGGTCATCATAGCACGTCCCAGCATCGGTAAGTCCAGCTCTGTCTGCATATATCTAGATTCATATATAGCTGCATAACAATAACTGTGGGGCGTCGCCTTGAGGCTTGTCTCTGTTGCTTGGTTGCTTGCTTTCTTAATCATCTCCTTAAGTCTAGTTTTTACCATAAATATATTTTATCTATTTTTGTCTTTCCTAACTTTACAAATTTATGTGTTATTTTTTTTTATTTTGTCGGCTGCTGGCTATTAAATTTGTGCCTAAAAAAAAAACATAAACAACAAAAACTATGCAATTAATTTTGTCTTAGCTTTTCCTTTTCCTTTTTTTTCTCAAACTGCCAGTTGCAGCAGATTTTTTATATTTTTCACAGTCCACAGTCTCCCAGTTAGCTCTTTAATCATATGGCGTGTTTTTTTTTATGACTTTGGGCCGTTGCAATTGAAATTGAAATTGAGACCTGAGAGTTTTCCGCTGCATGAGCGGCCAAAACCTGCTTTTGCCTCTGCAGCTGCAATTTTTCAATTAGGCTAAAATGTTGATTCAAGCAGTCGAGCTGAACTCCCAGGCTGACCCCGTGCAAAATCTTACCTCTTGGCCAAAAAATTATTGACGTTGGCCAAAGGAAAACTGAAGTCAAGTGTTTTTCCAAAAATATATTAACGGCTTTAAATTTTTAGCAGCTGCTGTCCGAGCATGATTAGGCAAAAATTAGACAAAAGGAGTTAAGCGCTGCTAATTTTGGTATGAAAACAGAATTAGATAGCTTAGTTGAATTAATGGATATTAAAAGTGCTATAAATTATTAAGAAATCTCACTAATTGCTTCTATGAAATATTATACAGTATTGTTTCAAGTTTTGCCTTCTTCATTCATCAAGATTATTTGCCATTTATTTTACCTACTATAACTATCACCAGCGATAAAATCCCAGCTATACCGTCTATAATCTTTTACTGATTGCCTAAAATATAGATTTTAAAATCAACTTGGACAACGCCCACTAGAAATTGATCTTTTGCGCCTTGAGCTGGAGCTCTCAATTGGTTAGCACACGATGTGCCTACCGCAATTGCGTTGCCCAGTGTATTTAAGACACGCTTTAAAGCCCATTCAAACTATTTAAATATTGATGGATTGATGACTTTGGCAGCATAAAGTTCGCAAAGTTCAAATCTGTTAGCGCGGCTCTTCAAATTGGGATTGGCAAGTCGTCGTCAAGTCGCGTTGCCTAATTGACAGCCACACTTAAGGCTTTTGTGGGTGTGGCACACGTTCGGAGTTATGTTAAGCGCTTTTTCTCTTATGCTGCCTGCAAATTAGGTATGCGGGGGTTTCTTTTTGTTTTTTTTTCGGTGCTTTGCGCTAACATGTGTCTATTATTTATGTGCTCATCTGCAAATTGTTTACCTGTGACATATACAATGTAGCTTGTGTTTATGTATGTCAGCGACATAATCCCTTTGCGCGCTTTGTTGACACCGCTCGCCCGACCGCTAAGGCACACGAATCAGACCAAATACAACAAATAGGCAAATAAACAAACAAACAATTGAACTACAAATACAACAACAAAACGCGTGAAACGAAACAAAAAGTGTGTGTAAAAGTGTGCTCAAGAGGTGGGCTGGAGATGCACACACATTGGCAGCGCAAGTTTTAAATTTTTGCTTACATTTTGATTGTCTGCTCGACAAAGTATCGAGGCTATCAATACAATATAATTTTAATCGATGATTCCTGTTAACGACTGCCCCTTAAGTGCGCATCTGGCAGCTCTTTGGCTGGCATCATCTCGTAGCCTTTCACTTTACCACATCTGGCAGCTCTCTATAATGTAAGCAAAAGTTTTTGAATATTTAATGTGTTGTTCTGTGTGTGTTGTGTGCTCAGTCCGCCCTTGTAAACAACTAAAAACAAATAAGCATAAACAGCAGCGCTTGAACAAATATCTCCTATCAACAATTTTCAAAAAACTGCACAGACTTACACAAATACACACGCACACACAAGGCACAGACAAACTGTAAGCAAACGTCGTCGTCATTGACCAACAAGTTCAATGAGCATGAAATTTAAAACGGTAAATTCAAATTGAAACTGAAGCTTATAAATCAAATACTACTCTACCCCGTCCCCTGCCTACAACTGCAATTAAAAAACACGCAAACAACAACTATCCTCTGCCTTTTGCCCAGCGGAATTTTACACTCGCACAAATGACCACGCCTACTCTAAAGCCTACGCCTTCGCCTTCGCCTTTGGTTACGCACAAATTTTCCTTGCTGCTGCTGCTGCTGCTACTGTTCCTTCTCCTGCTGCCGATCTTAGAGATCAGGACTGAACGAATCTCCTGCAGTTTCACCATCGGCCTATGAGCCCGTGCCTGGCTGGGTGGATAATCTGAATGGCCCAACTGGTCTCATGGTGGGCGCTGGCAAGGGCGTCATTCGATCCATGCTCATCGATACGCGTCACAAATCGGAGGTCATACCGGTGGACTATGCCATCAATGGCCTATGCGTCATACCATATCAGTTTACCACGCAGAAACGGCCAGTGGATGTGCCCGTCTATAATATAACGTGCGCTGATCATCGCAAGATGCAATGGGGCGAAGTAATTGAGCTGAGCAAAAAGATTGGCTATCAGTATCCAATGGAGGCGGGTCTCTGGTATCCGGATGGCTGCATAACCACCAACAAATTCCACCATAATATCAATGTGGTGCTCTTCCATTGGCTGCCCGCCTATTTGATCGATTTCATGCTCTTCATTTTGGGCCAGAAGCGCTTGTAAGTTTTTGGTTAATTTTGTGGATTCTCGATCGACTACAAATTCCACTTCCAATTCCACTCCCAACTCCCACGCAAACCCCTAAAATTCGCTTAGTATGATACGTGTACAGAATCGCATCTCAGTGGGATTGGAGGTGCTGCAATTCTTTACGATGCGCGCCTGGTACTTCAAGTCGGATGCCTATGCCTCGCTCTGGAATATGCTGACTGAAGCCGATCGGAAAAAGTAAGAGGCGGTTTATAAATAGAGAAGATGTGTTTTTGTATAGATCTCTGACTGTCGCACATCAATTAGCTTTAACATGGACATGGATCCAGAGGAAACAATACCGATGTACATTGAGTCCTGTGTGCAAGGCGGTCGACAGTACTTGATGAAGGAGTCGCCCGAGTCTCTGCCGCGTGCGCGTCGCCAGCTCATGCTGTAAACAAGATAACCCTATTTATATATCCATATATCTGAGCAATTATTTATGTTCTTCCCCCTCCCTTGATCGCATTATAGGATGTATCTGTTGGATCGCGCGTGCAAGACGATCATCGTTGGTTTCCTCGGTTACTGGACGTATGGCCTTATCTCACGTCTTGTGGGCGCCTAGAACGGAACTCACAGAGAGATTTATAGAATAGCATATGGCCAAAATATTATTGCTCGCTTTACCAATATAATGCTTTAGGTTCGCTTTATGGGGTACAAAAAACGTTTGTTTATTAAATGTTTTGCTTTTTAAGTTAAGTGTTTCGAAATGCAATAAAATAATAACGGTTCGTCAAGTTGTATGTGTACGTGTTCGAGTGTTGAAAGTGTCAAAAGAGGATTACGAAAGAGCCAAAAAAGACTAAAACACAACACAACAAAAACACTGAACAAATCAACACCAACACCAAAATTGCAAGATCTCCAGAGTTTAGCCTATTCTCAAATACAATGAATACATTTAAGACACTCACAAATCACATGCACTCACACACTCATACTCTACTCACAAACACCCACAACCACACCCACACACACATACACCACACTTCACACACATCTTATTGGCTTTCGGTTATCATCCAGCTGCCATCATGCAAACTGGGCTTCTTGGTATGTAGAGTGAGAAGTTATTTCGTTGACTTAGTCTAATCTATAGATCTCTCTTTTGCAATTAGTGTCACCGGCTGCTTATGAGCCTTTGCAAGGCTGGGTGGATAATCTGAATGGACCCACTGGCCTGATGATTGGCTGCGGCAAGGGCGTCATTCGCTCGGTGCTGGTGAATAAGGAGAACAAGGCTGAAGTTATACCCGTGGACTATGCAATCAATGGTCTCATTGTCATACCATACGAATTCAATAAGCAGGCCAAGCGACCCGCCGATGTGCCCGTCTATAACATAACCAACGCTGATTTCAGAAAAAGGACCATGGGCAACATTGTTGAGATAAGCAAGCGCATCAACAAAGAGATTCCTTTCAATGCAGGACTCTGGTATCCAGATCCCTGTGTCACCACCAATGAGTTCTATCACAAATTCAATGTGGCCATGTTCCACTGGCTGCCAGCCTACCTGATTGATTTCTTAATGCTAATACTTGGACAGAAGCGATTGTAAGCATCGATCTCAGATAGCGTCATGGAGAAATATAGTCTAACAATTTATCGTCTATATATGCAGCATGCTACGCGTACAGCAGAAGATATCTACTGGTCTGGGCGTTCTTCAGTTCTTTACGCTTAATCCCTGGGTCTTCACATCTGATAATTATGCCGGGCTCTGGAACAACCTGACCGAGGAGGACAAAAAGATGTAATTATATGAGATGAGGATTTGAAATGCTTAGTTAATTTTAATCACTCTAATTTCTAGTTTCAACATGGACATGAATGACACCCATACAGAGGAGGAATACTTATATATGTGTGCGCGTGGCGCACGCAAATTTTTACTAAAGGAAAAGGACGAGGATATACCCAAAGCTCGTCTGCACATGCGCATGTAAGCTGTTTGCATTTGCTTGTTTTGGTGTGTTCATTATTATTCTCATTCATTACGTATTCTCTCCTAGCCAATGGTTTGTGGATGTCATCTGCAAGACCCTCATAGTTGGAGCCTTTTTCTACTATTTGCTGAAATGGACGGGGGTGCTGGCAATGATTTGAGTTCCTGTTTTATTTCCAGGAATTCTTCTACTTTTGTGGTCACAGGAATTATGTTTAGTCAATTAGCCAGTAGTTTGTAGTTCGCTTTAAGTTTCCAAGGTTTTCCAAATAAATATACATATTTAGGTTTTTGTACTCTAGTCCGAGCGAGTTGTTTCTCTATAATTGCAAATGTACTATATATAATAATTTTGTATTTGTATAATTGAATTTTGAATAATATTTATTCCGCCTGCGCAGTTACGCCCGCTGTCGCGGAGCCGTTGCCGGGCTGGGTAGACAATATGAATGGACCCACGGGCGTTTTGATTGGCGCTGGCAAAGGTGTTATTCGCTCCATGATCTGCAATGGGGAGCTCAAATCGGAGGTGATACCGGTGGACATAGCTATCAATGGACTGCTCTTGATACCCTATCATAACAGTCTGGCCAAGCAAAAGTAAGTGAATGAATGAATGAATGATGTAGAGCTGAAATTTGATTGTTTTTTCTATATCTTGCAGATCTCTTCAGATACCTGTCTACAACTTAACTGTGGAGGAGGCCAAGAAGCGCACTTGGAAATGGGTTATGGACGTGGGTCGCGATCTGGGCCTTAAATACCCATTCGAGGTGGGCCTCTGGTATCCCGATGGCAATATGACGACCAACAAGTTCTATCATACCTTCTGCACCATCATGTTCATGTGGCTGCCCGCCTATATCATTGACTTCCTTCTGGCGCTTTTCGGACAACGTCGCTTGTGAGTTGACCACCGAGATACCCTGTAAATTGTTGGCTAACTGATATAATTTTACTTACAGTATGGTTCGCGTTCAGACAAAGATATCGGTGGGTCTGGAAGTGCTGCAGTTCTTCACGACACGCAGCTGGGATTTCAAGTCGACGCATTTTCAGCAAATCTATAAAGATATATCTGAAGAAGATCGCAAAATGTATGACCTACGACTGCCTAGATATTCCATCTAGTTGGGCATTATAAATCATAAATCATTAGCACGTTAACAAATATTACATTTACATCAATTTTTCATTATATATTCTAATTCTCTTTAAATAGTTTCAAAATCAACACAGACGATGTGGACGATTACGAATATCTGAAGACTAGCATTTTGGGCGGCCGTCAGTATGTCATGAAGGAGCCTATGACCTCATTGCCAAGGTCCCGCATACAGCTGCGATTGTGGGTGTTATTTATAATATACTTGTTGCATATGTTCTGATCGATTATTGCTTCTATTTATTCACAGTTTGTATGTATTGGATCGCGTTTGCAAGACGGTGATACTGTGCGGACTACTCTATTGGACCTCCATGAAATTGGGCCTGATCGATCTGGTGCGTTACGGCATTTCGACAGTCAAGCATTGAACAATAAACCGGAAACCGGATATATCGTGCCGGAACTATATCTGAGGAATGCATTTTTGTATAATCGTGTATTTTAGATTTGGGTTGAAGTGGTTTATGCTCAAACTTCATGTATACGTAATTACCATTAAAGTTGTATAGATATTTTTAGGTATACAAATTGATTTCAATTGGAATTGATTTAGATTAGATATATAAGGTTTCGGTGTAAATCTTTATTAGTAATAATATCACAAGAAATCATAAAGAATATATGATATCAAATATAATATGTACATATAATTGGTTTCTTTATCTGCAAATAAATCGTATTCAAATAATGCTCAAGAGTATTCCATATTTTATTTGTTCTATAAAAGCTTGCAAAGGACTTTTAACCGTTTTATGCTCTGAAGTCGAAATCAACGGATAAAATTATATTTAATCGCTGGCTCTCATCGGTTCAATTCGTTTCGGATCTTGCTTCTCGCATTGATCTATTCGTGTTATACTCTTTTAACGAACGTCGTTCAGAGATTGATACGATGGACGCTCACAAAATAAAAGAAGAGAACCTCCCATATATTATATTATTATTATTTATACTATTTTGATTACACAGATTACGTATAAAATATTTTCTTTAGAAATCCACGCCGCAAAGTCGTCTATATATTTTCCCATTATTTGCCAGCCTCAAGGTAGGCCACACTATGGCTTAAAAATAACAATTTGAATGTTCAAATAAACAACTATATTGAGTCAACATATTCAAATTTGACGGAAACATTTTTGAATAATATTTGGTCACTTGAGACCGAATGGATTTGCGTTCTATGCAATTAATTGCAATTGCCTTAAACTCAAGTAAGTTCTATGTTTAAACATTGTCGTAATGGAATGCTGTGGGCGAATGCAATAGACTTATATTTCTACTATATATTTAGTTATATATGCGAGTACTTTAGAGGTAGTTCAAGTATTGCAAGTATCTGGAACAATATTTGAAGTATTTATTCAAGAGTAGCAAATGCAAGCTGATTAATTTGATATAAATTATTATTATAATTACAGCAGTTCATTTCATACATAATATGTACCTCATAATGCATAGTATATGTCAGTTTGGACTACTCAAAGTTCTGATTACTTAGCACTTCAATTAATTCTTTTGAGTAGTATTTGGATATTGTCTCTCCTTATTTGCAGTTTCTTCATCTCCGAAAATGAAGCGTCTCGCGTCGTGTGGCTTTTCGTTTTTTTTTTGTTGCTTTTCTTTTTTTCAATTTTTATACTCCGAAGTCTGTTTGTCGGCATTGTTGAGCGTAAAAATCGGAAACATTGCTTATAAATAGACGTTGCCCGGCTTGAGATCCACCATTTGAAATTCAACTGTCGCCGTGTTGTGAATTGAGCAATTGAACGTGGATTGTGAATTGACAGAGGTGAATAAAGAGTAAAGGACATTTAAAAGACATTTAACTATTATATACTATATATATGTATATGTAAATTCTATAAACATTCTGTGAGAGTGCAAAGTGAAACAATTACAAGAACTTTCACAAGGCTCTAAATCAAATCAAATAAAATGATTGTGGAAAAAGTGGTGAGTAAAAAATATGTGAGAAAACCTAAAATATATATAAAGTAAGAATGAAAAAATGCAATAAATTTATATTTCATAATAATAAGAATATAATTTGTACAACATATTTATTAAAAATGCAATAATCAAAGAAATTTTTCTACACATTCCAAAAAGTGAAAAATTTATTTCGCATGCATTTATTAATTTATCAATTAAACATTTTATATTTGTTTTTTATTTTTATATGGTTTTAAATTAAAAATGCTTATTTTCCAATTATTTATACGGTTTACAATTATTTTTGCTAATAAATATAAACAATATTTTTTGGATTAGCTCTCTTTGTTTCTCTCTATGCTTATATGCTTAAATGATGCAGAACCAATTGAGAAAACTTTAAGAGCAAAAGAAATTTATTTAAATGATGTGAAATATATAAAATTAAAATGTTTCTTAAGTTTCTCGTTACAAATATCGATTGTTGGCACTCTTTAACTTGAACAGAAATCTCATTATTGTTAACAACTTTTGTTTTTTTTTTTTTTTTTTTGTTTTATTTTTTTGTTAGCAATGCACGTACGCTGCGCCGTTGCCCAAACGGTTTCGTGGATTGGGGGAAGCGTTTAGTTATTTGTGATACCCTGAACCGATTGAGAATCGGAAATTGGGGTATATTGGTTTTGTTAATATGTATGTAAAAGGCAGAAAAGGATGACGGAAGAAATTACATATATGTATATTTTTTATGAGCAATATTTGAGTATAGCCCTATCCGTCTGCCCGGCCGACTTAGAATGCTTATATATAAAAGCTCAGATCTTTCGGGGCTAAGGGGATCTTCTAGTCGGGCCACAGTTTTCTCTTGGATCTTAAGTTTGGGTTTGGGCGTGTGTGAGCTAAAGAAAAAAAAAATAACGATGCTGATGATAATTTATAGAATTAGTGAGAAATAATCTTGTACATTTATTAGTGGGCAGGTGTGAAAACGTTGTGTAAATAAGACAGTTGGCCACATGGCTATGATGGATGATTATCTATCAACTTCCCCATATCTTTCATACAAGCAGTATTTAACATCAGCCAGAGCTCGAATAATTCATATATTGTTGTATTGTGTTGCCTTGGCGAACTTTTCTAGCTAGGATCAACAATGTGAATCAATGTCGAGCTGCCTTCTAGAAGGGTCCAAGCAAATTGTTTGTTCTTTTCTAAGAAAACTTAGACTTTTGTACACACTCCAACATTTGAATGGGTTTCTTTAATAGCTAATGAATTTCATTATTAATTATCGATACTTAGTGCTAATTAAATACTAATCCGATAATCGATTGATCGTAAATTTAACTAAAGTTCATTTGGTTTAATTAGACACATCTTCGAATTGAAAATTCATTAATTGCGTAGTTTTAGCATAGCAATTATCGTTGCAGACTTAATTCATTCCAGTTATTTGAACGAACAGGATCTACAATTAACCGTTACCCATGGTGCTTGAATATTAGAATAAATTTATTAGTATCTGCGAACATTGCCTGATGATTCCAGAAATTCGACTAATTAATACATTATGGCTTAACTAATTTAGTATTGGACCAGTTATGCTGGCGAGCTATGGCAAAGCACATGCGTAAACCAATTTATCACTCTTTCCCTTGAAACTCTTCTTGTACATACATATGTATGTATTTCGAAACATCTGAATAGATTATTGCGTTAATCTACTCTTATACCATACTGAGTGTGTGTGTGTGTGTGCTTTGTCTAATAATTCAATCGAAGTTGCTTTATCACATTGCTACGGTCTAGAATTTTATTTACTTTCAAATCGAACACACTAACACATTTAGAGCTTTGTAGTAAATACATATGTATATATAACATATATATACATTTATATACATATACATTGTATGTGTATATTTTAAAACAGAAACAATACCTATACAAATTTATTAAAATTCTAAAGAACTAACGAAAATGTCGCAATTTTGGGAACGGTATGTGAAACCTGCATTTAGCCAGGCCAAAAGCAATCTGCTGCTACTCCGCAGCAAGCCGCGCGGTGCATTGCTCTGGAAGCGCGTCACCTTTCTGGTGGCCACGCCAGCCATTGGGCTCTGCATGATCAACGCCTACAACGGTGCACGTGCACCGAAGCCGCTGCCGCCGTTTGTCAAGTACGAGCATCTGCGCCGTCGCAATAAACGCTTTCCCTGGGGCGATGGGGAGCGCAGCCTGTTCCATAATCCTCATGTCAATCCATTACCCGAAGGCTATGAAGCTTAAGAAGCTACAAATAGAGATCGGGAACGGCAAACTAGAGGTAGCGGAAGCCTGAAGGAAACCCGCTTTGAAAAATTCTATATTTCTACATTTTGTGTTGATTGATTGTACTATTGGGCAGTTCGTTAAGGACCGTTTCGTTCATGTGGAGATCGTTCAAGGAACCAACAGAAGTAGCTGTCCTCCTCCAATCCCCAGCACTTGCAGTAGCGCCAGTACCCCAAGCCATAAATAGTAGCATTGTAAAGCAAATAAAAAGCGTACCGTACCCGCACAGACACAAACCGACACGCGTTCCTCGATATTGTTGCTGCAGACCTACTATATTTTTTTTATACATATGTATATCTATGTATATATAGGGAGGTTTATAGTTTATTTAGGTATATTTAGCTGTTAGTTTTTATTGTGTGGGCGTGGCTTGGCGACTTTCGCTTTCGGAAAGTTACGCTCAATCAAAAATTTGATAACCGTTCATAACTAATTTGCCATGCGGCACCTGTACTTCAACTACAAATTATTTATATATATTTCATTAAATTTAAATGCATATACTCATATATTTACATATATACATGTGTAATATGCATATATGTATTATACAACACGCTGTTGACCCTGAATCTGAGGCTTGTGTGGTGCGCGTGCTCGTATGTCACTTCAATTCAATATTTTTCTAGGGCATCAATGCGATTTTATTTCACACTCCTTATAATATGGACTTATCTCCTTCATTTTGTCGCCTTTCTATGAGAATTTCGCCCTTTAATATTTCTCTATCTCTGCACCTGCATTTCCCTATCTAATCGAAGATCTGAAAACTTCAACACAGCCTTTCTACATGGTTCTCTCGCATTTTTGTTTTTATATATTTTACTTTCGGAATGTTCTATGGGTAATTTCGGCAGTTTCCATTTATATACTATAGTTAAGTACTTAATTTGGTTGGATGACACATTTAACGTTACGAATTGGTATTTAAGGCTTTGTTTTGTTTTTACTTTCTGGGTCAGTAAACAGCTGACATTCGAATGATCGTGTTGAATTGGTTACGTTGAAAACAAAAAAAAATGGAACAGAGTCTGGGAAAAAAGGCCAAACAGAAAACGTGCGCCCATGATCTGCAGCTGGTGATCATCATTAATCAATTCATTTGTTTGGTAGGTGTTTTATTTTATGAATGGGTGCCGTCCTGTCAAAGGTAGCCCTGAAAAATGAGAGAGAAGATAAAGAGAGAGACAAGGAGAGAGACAGAGAGTCAGAGACAGAAAGATTATCTGAATCTGAACCTGTATCTGAATCGGAATCTTAATTGGTATCTGTATCTGTATCTGTATCTGTATCTGTATCTGTATCTGTATCTGTATCTGT